GGGCTCCTTGCTCAGCGGGGAGCCTGCTTCTCCCTCTGCCTCTGCCTGCCACTCCCGCTGCTTGTGCTCTCTCTCTCTCCGTCAAATAAATAAAAAAAAAAAAAAAAGAAAAGAAATCTTGAGATTCAGAATGTCACCTTTGATTAACAGCAGAGAATAATAGATTCTGAGAAACATTATGTATCCGATTCACAGTCAAACAGGATAGCTAGCAAACAGGAAATAACCCCATGCATGAAAGGACTTAGGCTGGAAACCGTGAGCATTATATTCAGTTTCCCAGACAGTCAAGGAGGAATCCAGGACTGAACTCGACCGTCAGTCCAGCTTCCACCCCAAGCACTCGCCAGAAAGGGCCCACAGAGAGGGACACCCAAGCAGCCCCCACGTGCCGTCCAGACTTCCTCCCGGCCCGGCCCGGCCCTGCTGGGGCTGGGCTGACACTGTCTCTCCCCTCCTGTCTAATGAGAACACTGGTCACTGGGTTGGGGGCCCAACTGGGTAACGCAGAATGACCTCATCTCGAGATCCTTAACTTGATTATATCTGCAAACACCCTTTCTGCAAGTAAGGGTCCAGAACTGGGGATGGACATGTCTTCTGCGTCGGGGGGCAGGGTTACTGCCGTTCAGCCCCCTCCAGCTTCTCTGTCCTGGAGTACCCTCAGCACCAAGTCTGTACCTTTCCTAAGACATCTCCACTCGCTCACATCACCTGGCCGTCCTCTGTGTCTTTGCCTGACCAGCATGGGGCCTGCCCCCGAGAGCAGAGCCTGGGTCTGGCTCTGCTGCCCTCAGTCGCCAGGAGTGACCCCAGGCCTGTCTTGTGCGTGACTGTGTTATAAACAGATCGTCTCTTCCAGCAACATTCTTTCTTATGAATACCAACAACTAATTTATCATTTTGGCTGAAATGTTCGCTGAAAAGCAGGTGTGAAAAGAACAGTGAAGACACCACCCCATGCACAGGCCACCAGCCTTCGCTGTGGGCAGGTTGAGGCTGGAACGTGAGAAGAATAAGGGGGAGACGCGGGTGAGCAGACCGTGAGCAGACCGAAAGAATTGCAGAATCCTGTGCAAACCGAACAGGCACAGCCCGAAGAACCCCAGGCACAGGAGCTGAAACCCAGGCGGTCCCGTCCTCAGGCGCACACCTGCTGGGTTGTCACCAGAGCCCCTGCCCTGATGCTGGATGTGGCTTGCAGCCTGGGCGGGCAGGCAGGGGGCCACAGACGTGGTCCGGTCCATGCCCTGGAGTTCACTGTCGTCCTGGTTAGCAAGAGCCGTGGCACAGCATGGAGGGGGGAGAGCCCAGGGCACATCGGGGCACAACACGGTCCTCCGCTGTCAAGGACCAAATCAGGAACTCAAACACACCTGTGTCCAGGGCACCCAGAGGTGTCACCCTCTGGAGCCCCGCAGACAACACACAGCACGTTCCTGAGAGTCCTCTCCACACGAATGACACATGGTCGTGTGTGTGCAGAGGAGACCCACGTTACCGGGAAGACCCATGTCCCAAAGGCTTACCGTGTCCTGATGGGAAGACACACCCCCAGAGACCCTGCCCTAAACCGTCCGAGCCCCAGGGGAGCTGTCTGCTAAGGACCCAGGGCGGAAAGTCCCGTCTGGAGGGAAACCAGCCCTGGACCTCTCCGTTTCGGTTCTGGACAGACACTTGGCTAACGGCGGTCACCTGGACTTGCAGGCAAGGGAGTAAGAGCCCGGGAGGACGTGGCCGGAGAGGAAGCCGGCGTGCCCGCAGACATCCGAGTGGCAGGCTGGTGAGGAACAATGTGGAAAGAGATGCCGCCATTTGCCTGTTTTTTATGAGCTGGAAATGTGCTCCTGAGTCACCCTGGGGGAAGGACATGACAGCACCTCTACGCACAGGCTCGCTCCTGTGTGCCCAGGCAGTGGGGCCTCTGCCTCCATACTCCACGGGCCTGCAGGGCCCCCCCTGAGCTGTCCCGTCCCCTCACTGCTGACGGTGCTACTGGGAATCGGTTTGTAGGGACAGGGGACAGAGCCCCCGGGACAGCACACAGGGTGAGGGGCTGCACCGGCCCCAGGAGAAGGTTCATGAGCCTGCCGCATTCGGCACCTGCCAGCAGAGGTGAGACCCCAGAAATGCACCCCAGCTTTTACCTGGGTTCAGGACGGGCTGGACGATGTCCCCATTCCTCCACTTGGTCTCCATGCGCTCCAGCTTCTGGGCCTCGTACCGCTTCCGGCCCTCCTCCTCCTGCTCATGCCGGGAATACTGCGGAGAGGCGCAGACGGAGGGTCAGGCCAGCAGCAGCGAGCCCGGCCCTCGCCCTCCCCAGCCAGGCGCGGCTCGGCCTCCCAGGCTCGAGGCTCTCCTTGCCTGGTCTCCAGTTATGTAACTGGAGCCCATCCATCCCTGTCCAGATAATATATATTTAATATAAACAATAAAAACACAGAGAAGGTGAAAATCTCATGTATCCAGAGATCAACAGACTCAAATGTTTGCTCTGTGTCTTCCTCGAATTGTTCTCATGCCCACGTGTATATAAAACTTCTCCCATGCCAGATGCGGGTTTCCAAGTAGCAATCAACTGCATCAGCCCAACCTCTCTGCCTAACAGGACTTAGGTGATGGACCCGGTACTGAGCGCATCAGGTAGGCTCCCAGTCTGTCGCTGCTGAAACAACATCCCGTCAACAATCTCTGTCACATTTTACACGTGCCCCCTCCTCCTTCCTAGGATTTATCCCTGAACACAGAACTACAGAATCACGGGAGCCCCGACAGGGCGAGGAGAGAGCAGGTTTCCCGCATGCCCTCGACACCCTCACTCTGCTGACCTCCCAGCCTGTCCAGGTTGCCCACTTGCAGGAACGTGCACCAAAGCTAAGACATCCCAGCGAAGCTCTCCTCATGGATCGCGGACGTTCAGACCCAAGAAGAATAAACAGAATATAAAACTTGGCACAAAAACTGTGGTTCCTAACGGGCATAGCGGGAGACGCTGGGCTTCTCTGATGTGACAGCAAGGGCCCTGTCCTCCAGCCCAGTGTAGGGCACACACGCCCTCCATGCGTGACCCCTTGGAAAAGCCCCGGGCCAGGTCCACGGGGGCCAGCTTCCCCTGGCAGCCCTCTCCCTTCCTGCCGCCACGGCCCAGGCCCGCCATGCTGACCACGGCCCAGCCAGCCTCCCCTCAGTTAGCTCTGACACCTGCCCCTGCCTTCACTCAGGCAGCATTTCTGGCTGAGCCCGTGGAGAAGCTACGGAGCCCAGGGCCCCATGGGCCCCTCTCGGACCCCCACTGAAGCCTCTCTGATTTAGGCAAATTCACTTCAGATGGCAATTTTAGATCTTCTTTCAAAAGCCAGTCTTAAACATCTTGATTTTCCTGCTTGTGGCTCTGCTGCAAATCACACAGGGTCTGAACACCACTCTGTGGCTTAATTACCATTATCTGAGGCTGGAGAACCTGTCTCCCAAGGAGACTGAGAATGGGTCTGAGGAGTCTGTTCAAAAGAAACAAACCCTGAGTGTTTAAGTTGCAGTGGATAATTTAAATTTTAAACCTTTTTCTCCATAAATAAACTGTGGCCCCCTGTCCCACCGTTCAAAGTAAAGAGCATACGAGCAGAGTCTGTGCTGTGCCTATCCGGTAAAATTCACAGCTGAACTCAAGTGTCCTCAAGAAGCGCCTTTTAAAGAGATTTTTTAAAGAATGAGCCAACCTCCTGAGCCTAATAAATCCTGGCCGTGTGAGCATGCTGCTTGGGCCTGGGCTGTCACACGCGGCTGGCAGGGCCCCAGCCAGACACGAGCCATGAAGATGAAGGAAACGCAGCCTCCTCACAACGCTGCCTCTGAATCAGGGATAAAATCGCTAGAAGTCCCAACGATGGGCTGGTATCCCACCCTCACCCCCAAGGGCTCGTCTAGCCCTGCTGATGTGAAGCAAAAGCCAGCTCAGCGCACACGTCCAACGGCCTGGGCAAGCCTCCGAACTCAAGCGCACTTTCAGACACTGGAAAAAAGAAAAAAACCCAACAACCAAAGTGTCTGCACTCGGATGGCCCCCCTGCCTCTCCAGGGTCACTGCAGGGGTACTGGGGTCCCTGTTCCCTGAGGAAGAGGGTGGAGCCAAGTGGCAGCGTCTTACACTGAATACCACTGCACAAGGTGAACGGCCGGGTTTCCTCCAGGGAGATGCACACGCGAGTGTGCTCTGTGAGATGCATGTGACATACGTGTCTGTGGTACGACTGTACAGGTGAGAGACGTGCGTGACACACACACACCTGCACAGACAGATGTGTGTGGTCTCAAAAAAAGGACAGCAGTCTATAAAAGGTCAGTGGTACGATTCAGGGGTGGGGGGGTATTAGAAAGCCTCGTGGTCACGCGACCAGCGATGAGCATAAACGCCAGACTCCGAGCTTTCCAGGATCCATCAGGATAAGGACAACAGCAGACCTGTATTTCAAAATCAACTGAAGGCTTCTACGTGGGGCTCACATGTGGTGGGGGGGCGAACGCCCATAAATATTAGCGTCGGCTGCAGCTGGAAGCTGCGTGGCTTCTCCCATCTGGAGCCCTCTCTGCTTCCGTCTCTACAAAGGCACAGTTGGTATTTATGCCTTATCAAACCCGGCTAAACAAAAGAGATGGGAAAACTCCAGGCCCCTCTGGGATGTGGGGGTGAGCGCTCCCCGGGGAGGAGAGCTGCCCTGTCCCTGTGGGAGGATGGGAACCGGCACGCTGCCCGCCCCTGCCCTGCTGGCTGAAGACCCTAAGCTCTCAGCCCCCTGGCCCTGAGGAGCCAAAGGAAGCAAAGGCTCATGTGTTCAGCCCCAGAATCTTCCTTCAATATCAACCCCTTAACATGTATCATCTGGTGCCAAAGCCAGAGAATGGCCTGCCAGAGACTTCTACAATCTGTGGCATCTGAAAATGAAATCAGTTCAATAACTATGTCGTATTTACACACAATGCGGCTAACTGAGCACCAAGTGCTTGGTGCAAAAGATGAAAGCAGGGGTGGTTATGCTCGTAATTTCTAAAGAGAAAAATCACTGTGCTTCAGACTCACTCCTGTTTCTTGAGTCTTGGGCCTCCCCCTGGTCAGTGCTGCAGGGAGGGGAGAGACAGGGAAGGAGGGAGGGGGCAGGTGGGGCCGCACGGAAGGGCAGTGCTCTGGGGTGAACAGTGTCTGTCGAAATTCCCGCCCACGGGAAATCACGCACGTGACCTCTGACAGAACCAGGGTCTGGATGAGGTAACACTGCAGCAGAACGGACCCCAAGGGCAACGACTGAGGAGGAGACGCACACCCCCACAGGGGCAGTCAGAGGCAGAGGTGGGAGGGATGCAGCCACGAGCCACTAGAAGCTGGAAGACACAGGAAGCGTCTTCCCCTGGGGCCTCCGTCCCAGCAGCCCCAGGACCATCACAGAGGGGTGATCCCTAGGAGCCGCTGGGCTCCGTGCCCTGGCCGTGAGCTTCCACCCACTCTCCTCGCTTGTGCAGGGATGGGTGATGCCAGTGCCGTCAGCAGGAAGTAGCACTTTGTCTTGTCTCTCGCGGGACCAAAGGACAGGCCACCAATCCAACCCAGGCCAAGGTCTAAGCGTCCTTCCCGTTCAATGTGGAGAGGGCTCCCCTGTCTCAAGACAGTTTAAATATCTAGACTGCACGGCAGCTAGGGCCCAGCAGGCAGCCATCCCCACCTGGGGAGATATGCCACCTGGGCCTCGCCTGCCCTCGGGGTGCGGTCGGACCCTGGGCTGGCACGGGCAGAGGTGGGGGGGGGTTTGCAGGGAGTGCCCCCCCGGCAGTGTTACACCTGCAGGGGTGCAGGAAGTGGGAAGGTCTGCCAGGGAGACAGAGCAGGCTTCCCCAGGCAGGAAGGGCCTGCGTCCCCATGAGGAGGACAGGACCCAGCTTCTCTGTGAGCTCTGCGCAAAATAGCAGGTACCAGTTCCTACAGCTGTGGCTCCTGGTTTCGTTATTTTAAAAATCTGTTCTCTGTACGAGTGCAGGAAAATGCTCACTGCACGGCAGACACTGCCAGAACCACGGGGTGATTCCCTCCAGAGGAGCTTAGGTGTGAGAGCAGAGCGGCGGGCCTCCACGGAGGAGAAGCGCGCGTGTCCTGGGGGCGCCACAGGAGGCGGTGAGGGGTAACTTTAGGGAAGGAACTAAATCCTTCTATTGGCACAACATTCACCCTCCAAAAGCCTGTCCACCCGAGCGTGCCCGTAGTGGGCCCAGAACGAACACAACAGGCTCCCTTCGTGCAAAGACGCTTCTTTCTGCAGCAAAACCAGGGTGAGAGAACCCACAACAGTGGGAGAAGAGGCGGAAACAGAGCTGTCTTAGCCTCCGTCTCGTCAGGGGCTGGGATGGAGAGCGGCTGGCCTGGGCCAGGCAGCCGGGAGGTCCTGGCTCTCGCAGAAGGACCTGTCACCCGACAGCATCCGGACCCCCGCCTCCCCTCTGGTCGGGGACGTGAGGAAGGGTCCTCCAGGAGGGTCGTCCAACAGGACATTCCCAGCATGAACAAAACCTGCACGAATGTCCCAGACAGGGACACCCCACTCCACCGGCCGAGCCAGCCCCTAGCCCCTTCTGTTGCTCTCCTGGGACGCCTGGCTAGCCTCTGCCATCTGCCCCCCGAGAAAAGCGGGAGGAGGTCTCCTTACCACGACTGGAGGCACCTCCAGGACCTTGTCCACGTTCTTCAGTGACAGGGGCACATACCACAGGGTGGCCTTATTGGTCAGCTTCTTAGTACCTTCAGAGAAAAAACCACGTGAGTGATGGCACAGGGAGAGCACAGGGCAGGTGAGGCTGAAATACAAGGTGGGAGGGTGGGCGCAGAGTGTGGGGAGCCCCCCCAATGCTGCCCCTCTGGAGGTTGCTGGAAAGGCTTCAGAGCATACACTTTAAGTCTGGGGGTCTTGGCTTTCCAGCATTTGCTAACACAGAGGGCTCCGACTGCAGCCCCTTTACGGGTGTTTGACAGAAGGGAAGTCCAGTCATCCACACGCCTGGAAGCCTGAGGAGCCTCGGGTGGGGCCCTCACCAGCCACCTCCCGGAGAAGAGGGGACAAAGCCCCAGCTTTGTCCTGAGCCCCACTCAGCCCCAGCTGGACTCGAGTTTCTGCAAACAGATCCAGCAGACCCTGAACTTCCCATCGAATACACTCTGCTCGGGAGCTTCAAGCCACAGGGCTCAGCGAGGGAACGTCCACCCGCTAAACATGGCTAAGAGCTCCTGCCAGACGGACGCCAGGACAGCGGCCCATGGACATGAGGCTCGGGGAGACATGGAGCCAGAGCCCACGCGGGCAGCCTGGGGAGCGGCTGTGGCCAGGCCATAAACTGAAGCACAGCTGTGCGGTCAGCCGGGCAAGGCCCGTCCTGCAAGTGGGAGACTTCACACCAGACGCTCGGGTTTGTTGCCACTGACTCAAGAGCTCCAATCGAGAAACTTCAGAGTGGGGTGCTGAGACCAGCAGTGGGCTGCTGACTCCCACTGTGGGCTGAGTGACGGGAAACAGAACCTTCCTTGGGGCTACCAGAGAGGCCTTGTCTGGGCTGAGAACCAGGGGCCAGAAAAGTCCAGAGATCACATGGTCCACCGCACCCACCACTTGTATAGGAGGAAGCTGGAGCCCAGAGAGGTCAAGGGGTTTACCTAGGGTCACACAGCAATTCGGTGCTATTCTGTGTATAGACCTACATCTCCAGGTCCCAGTACTTTGAGGGAAATATTTGCAAGGATGCCTTAAAAAGTAGCTTCCTCAACACAGAAGATCCTCAGTGCAGAGAACAGCAAAACTGCAGGAAATAAAGGGAAGCAAGCAGGGAGGATGGGGAGGAGCCAGGCATCCTCTGTAAAGCCCCTCGTGGAGCTCCCTTTCTATCAGTGCTTTCTGACCTGCCTTCCCAGAGGGAGCCGGGGGCTTTGGTTTCCTCCCCTGAACACAGCCCCAGGGCCCTGCGGTCACGGAGGAGGGTGAGCCCACGGCGCCCGGGCCTGCACCACCAGCGCTTGGCCCCAACACGGTGGCCCCAGCAGGACAACAGACTCCCTGTGCTTGGGAACCACAGGCAAATAACATGGAAAATATTTTCACTGCACTTTGACTGAGAGTTAATCTGACAACCTGCTTTTCGGAATAAAGATTTCCTGTTTGACTCTGCCAGAGCCAGCCTGACAAGCCGGTTTCCATGGAAACCTGGAGTGGCCCTCCTCTAGACCCAAATGAGCACCACGGGGCAAATGAGGCAAAACATGCTAATTGTACTTTCTCCGTCATTTAATAAAACCATCAAAAGACAATTGCAGCATTAAAAACACCTATTTTAAAATCTTAAGAGCTCCCAGCTATTTTCTGGAGCAATTTGCAACAATCATGTCCCAGTTCGCTTAATATTTTGACAGTTGCTGGAGATGAATGAGCTGTCTCGAAGGCAAAGGTTTGCTGGTTGTCGTGCCTTGGCTGCCTCCTGACAGGCAGCCCAGCCCCGGAGGAGGGGGACACACAAGACAGGGAACCCCTGCCTCCTGGGGTCTCAGTTCCTTCCCCGCCCCCCGTCAGAGTCACCCTGGGTCCACGGGGCCAAGCACTGCTGTAGGCAGTGGGGGGACTGCAGGGGACAAGGAAGCTACCAGCCACACCCTAGACAAGTGGGCAGAAAGACACACGTCAGGACAGAGAGGGAGGCCATGAGAGACACAGGGTCCCAGAATAAGAGAGATCTGCACGGATCCAAACTTGGAAAGACAGAGGGAGTACGACAGAGATGCAGATGCACAGACGTGGCAATTACAGAAAGAGACGCAGAAATGAGAGAGAGACAGACAGACCCACAGTGGTGGAATGAGAAAGGAGGCATCTGGCCCTTCAGAAGGAGGTTCTGGGGAAGATGACCAAGACACGGAGAACAGCCACAGCCCTCAGGGCTCCAAGAGCGGCTGCCCCCTTCATGTAACAGGGGAGGCCTGAGGGTCAGGAGGCCCCATCTCGAGAAGCAGAGCCCAGTGGGGTTACAGAGCCTGCCCCCTTGTCCCGTGAGGGTGGACGCCCGTAGCACCTCTCCTCACTGCCAGTTCTTCCTTCACAGGGCACATCAGATCTGTGTGCCCATCCTGCAGGGAAGGAGCGAAGCCGAGGCTGAGCGACCAGGTGCTTGGGGGGCAGAGGGGTGCATCCTTACTGGTGGGGTGGAGGGCTGCCATCTCTCCACCACGGCTCCGGGCGAGAGCCTCCTGCCCCACAGTGGGAGCGATCCCTTAGAATTCAGGCAGAGCGTGTCGTTCCAGACAAAACCCTCTGTCAGCTTCCCATCTCTGCACAGAAACACAAATCTTCCCAACAGCCTCTGTTCACGTGGTCATGCGTTCACTCCATCATTCATTCACCTGTAGTTATCAGCTCTATGTCTGTTATGAGCCGAGAGAAGCTGCCAGGAAGGAAGACATGACCCTTTCCCTCCAGAGTTCACGGTCGAGGGCAGGGCTTCTCAGGCTTGGCACAGGAACATACAGGACTGGGTCACCCTTCGCGGTGGGGACCCCCCTGTGCGCGCAGGCTGTGCAGCTGCATCCTTGCCCTCCCTGCACTGGATGCCAGCACCTCTGCCCCGACGGTGACAACCAAAATGGTCCCCTTGAGAGTCACCGTGCTGGGGGTCCAAAGCCGTGGGGCTGAGCTCCACTTTTTCTCCTGGCTTCTTCCCCATCGCCAACAGGGAGACGTTTTTTTTTTTCTGTTCCTCAGGGGCCCCTCCCCCATTTGAAGTCCCTGGCTCCCGCTGAAAATCACCACGAGAAAGCGACCCTGCTGGGACGGCCACGGGGGAAGCTTGAAGATTGAGAGCAGCAGAGACAGCGACTTCCCGTCAAGCCCAGCACAGCCCCGGGGAGGAGGCCTGGGCCACAGAGAGACAGAGCACAGGGAACGATGACCGGGACCCCAAGGCCCCATCGTGAGAAGACCGTGCCCGGGTACCCCTTTCTGTGCCATGGTCCCTGCAATGCCAGAGCCACGGGCTGCAGCAGGGCCTGGCCACAAACACAGCGCACGGGGATGCTGAGTGCTCCCCGAGCCCAGGCCCTTGCTCGGCTAAATCATCTACTGCACCGCAGCCGGGCCTGCTGAGGTCACCGGGGTGTTCCAGATGGACAACTGTGCTCTAGGCCCAGGGAGGGGAGAAGTCTGAGCCCCTGAAAGATCTCTGAGCACAGCACCTACAGGCAGCCACGGCCAAGGAAGGGGCAAGGGGCATCAGGAGGCAGACCCAAGGACCCTGCCCTCTGCATGGACGACGTGGGACCCGGAGGTGGGCAGCAAGGGGACAAAGGGGCCTGCCTTCCCAGTCAGCAGCCCGGTTATAAAAAGCAGCTGCGCCACACTCCCCTGCAGAGCCTGGTGGGAGGATGAAAAGGGGTTTCCATGGTTACCACTCTGAGAAAGAGAATATTCAGATCAAACCAGAGTCAAAGGTTCGCCCAGTGAGCTTCAGCCTAAGCCTGGAATGCAGGGCCAGGGGTGCAGGGATAAGGGCAGGGCAGGGCAGGGACCCCCACCACCCCCCCGCCACTCCCCCTCCAGCCAGTGGCCTCCCACCTCCAGGGAACAGCAAGGCGGGTGGTGGTGGTGGGGAGACAGCAGGGGGCCGGAGGGCGGCTTGGTGCCCTCCCAGCCCATGGCCACCCCTCTGCCCCTGAGGAGCTGGTCACCAGACCTCCGCCCGGGGAAACCAAGAGGGGCAGTGGCTGCGCACCGGGCCCGAGCTCAAATCCCACTGGGGGAGCACGCTGTCGGGACTCATTGCTTAACCTGTCCCTGCCTGCAGAACAAGGATGGCAGAAGTATCTGCTCCTGGGTGGGGCTGGGAATGAAGGGACCTCACTCATGGATGGCGCCAGGGTCAGCCTCCCATCAGCGTGAGCTACGGCTGCTGCTGGCGCCGGTCCTGACCGAGCTGGCTTGGTGAGACGCATGCACAAGTTACCTGTGAGGATGTTTTCGGACATCACATTGACCTGGACCTCCACGGAATGCTTGGAGGTGTAGGTGATCTCTGCACTGACGTGCGCCACCTCACCGATGCACATGGGTGACAGGAAGTCGGTGCGCTCGACGCGGGCCAGGGCGGCCACACAGCGCTCCTGCAGAGACCAGAGACAGGTTAGCCCCAACCCTGGACGTGCTCCTCGAAAGTGGCCTTTCTTTTTCCCACTGTGAAAGTAACGCCATTTATTTGCATCACACATTCCTAATTGCAAAACCACGGGAGACACAGAAAGGCAGACGACGTGGAAGTAGTGGGATTCTCTGAGTAGTGAGGGTTAGCAGTGGCTCCTTTTTTCTAATTTTTCTACAAAAGACGTGTATTACTTCCATAATGGAAAGTAAAAAAAGACATACTCATTATGGAAAATTTGGGAAATACACAATGAAGTAGACCGAAGAGGGAAAAATCACTCCTCCCATCCAAAGAGAACCCAGTGTTCTATTTCAGGATCTTCCTTCCCAGGTTCTTCTCCCCAAGAATGGGATCTCCCTGGTTCGTTTGAGTTATTCAGTCTAATACAGTCCGGCAAACATAAACATACGTGTCCACAACCTGCTTTTTCTTCTACTCAAAACAAGGAAAAATAACCTGCCTGCATTACAAATGGTGCTTTGCAATCAATATTCCTTTATTTAACTGTTATTTATCCTTCAAATAGGAGCCCATTTGCAGGACTCAAAATTGAAAGGAAGGAAAGGGTATAGGGTACCAGGTGTGCATCTTGTCACTGGTCCCCAGACACCCAGGACCCCTTCCGTAAGGGATCGACGCGGCCACCGAGTACACCCACGCCTGGAGTGCCATCTGGACGGCACGTGACAGTCTACGCTGGGGCTTGTTCTCTATCGAAGGTGACAGACTTCCTCATTCTTCTGCATGGCCCTTTCCATGACTGACGTCATGACACCCCATTGCAAAAGTATGTTTAATGGCCAAATTGAATGGAATATTCCGTTATCAGAGACTTGGGTCCAGTTGGATCCATTTGCTTATTATAAACAATCCTGTGATGGGTGTCCTTTTACTTAAATCATTTTCAGTGTTGGGGGCTATTTCCCAGATTAAAGGGACACTTCAGTGTATGTTCTCGAAGTACTTCTCAACAGGACAGCAGTGCCTCTCTCCCCCCCATCCCCCGCCCCCGGCCGGGACTGGCACAAAGAGCTGCTTCCACGTCGTCTGATCGAACTGAATGACACAAGACGCTGGAGTCCCAACTGTGGGACCTCAGACCCTCACTGCCAAGCAGAGCACTTGGCACGTCTATCACTTTCTCCCGGGAATCAACCCTCTTTTCTAGGAGGCTGGGTACAGGTGTGCAAGGCCCCCCGGCTACCCCCTGGCTGGGCGGGGAGCAGGGAGCGGGAGATGGGGCTCACCTTCGAGAGCCTGCCCCCCCCGGCCCCGCCCGCTCTGGCCCCTGCTCTGGCCCCGCTCTGGCCCCGCTCTGGCCCTCGCTTTCCCAGCTAATCCTCACGGTACCCATCGTCCACCGAGCTTGTAGTAATGGTCACTTTGAGCCCCGGTGGTACCTCCTGGGGCACCTGTGCAAGAGCCCACCTGCCGCCTCCCGGGCATGCAACTTCCCTGGCCCACGTCAAGCCGACGGGGCCTGCCCCTGCCTCTCTGGAAGGACAGCCAGGGAACCTGCACCTTCGCGCCTCCCAGCTGAGTCAGGAACACGGGGTTGGGGGTTCCTCCAGTTTCTGCTCCTATAAACGTGCCAGAGTCAGGTCTCAGCAAGCAGGGGACCAGAGTGGCTGGGAAAGTTTCCAGGGCTAAGTTGTGGCCACTCTGATCTGCACCGGCTTCCCCCCTACTCGCCCCCTAAGTCACACTGGCCCTAAAACAAAGTGCGCCTCTAAGTAGACTTCTGTGGCTACAGCACCACCCACTGGCAGAAAGCTGGAAAGGCACCTGCAGAGCCGAGCAGGACAGGAACAGAGGCCCCGCCTCTGGGCGGCTTGGTGGAATTACCCAAGCACTGTCAGCAAGACCCAAACCGGAATGAAACCAGGTGTCTTCACTGGAGAGCGGTTAAACTTTGGTATGGCTACACTCACACACGGGTAGCATACGTGCATATATATATGAATAATTTTTAATGGGAATGCAGCTTAGTCTTGGATGGACCTGAGCTCCATCTCGGTGTACTTCTTTGCTGGAAGGAGGAGAGATGAAATGCCTGCGTGCTGAGATGAAGGAGGTGAACGATGTGGGCAGGTGACACAGATTAGGTGACTACTGACCCTCTGACGCTCCGTCAGAGGGAGGGTCATCTGCTTCTGGGCCGTGGCTGACTGCGGGTATACCAGGGGACCCGAGATCGGAGATCAGGCAGGAAATACTGGCATGCGCGGAGCCAGGCTCCGCACCTGGTGCGGGATTCAGGGGAATGAGTCAGAGCGCCTGCCCTCGGCTTGGGTTCAGACAGGGGGACGGATGATAAACAAGTAAATAGGACAATGCCCCACGGTGGCAAGTGTTCTGAAGGGGGCAGTGTGGGAAGTGCTGGGGGTAGGGGGCGGCCTCCCCACAGAGGGCGCATCCCGAGTGAAATGATGCCAATCGGGAGGAGGCAGGTATGGAGTTGTACCCCAGGGGAGCGGGGAGCAGGCAGGACTGTGCACGGTGGAGGCTGGGGGGCAGGGGTGCACAGCAGGAGGTGCAAGCTAAGGGGTCAGCAGGGCCTGTAGGGCCAGGGGAGGTGTGGGGCCAGGACTCTGCCGGAGGGGCAGAGAAGACGAGCAGACTGGCTGACTTTTTAGTCCCTGCACTTCAGGGTGGTGTGAACTTTTGGCAGGTGGCGTTTCTGTTCCCTTCCATGACCTGGAACATGGACACAGTGACCCAGGAGGATACAGAGCAGCTCTCCACACTCTCTCAGGAACGCTGTCAACACACACCTGCCACAGGAAGCCCTCAGGCCTGGCACAGGAAGCCTGGCAGAGGCCTCAAACCTGCTCTTCTGGGTTGGAAGCTGCTTGTTAGGAATCTTTTTTTTTTTTTTTTAAAGATTTTATTTATTTATTTGAGAGAGAGAGAATGAGAGATAGAGAGCACGAGAGGGAAGAGGGTCAGAGGGAGAAGCAGTCTCCCTGCTGAGCAGGGAGCCCGATGTGGGACTCGATCCCAAGACTCCAGGATCATGACCTGAGCCGAAGGCAGTCGCTTAACCAACTGAGCCACCCAGGCGCCCCAGCTTGTTAGGAATCTTAAGCTTGGTTCTAAAAGAGAGAATGAATGTTTATAGGGCAGCCACTCCGGAGTCCTTCATAGGCAGGGCAGCCTAAGAGACGGGTGGGCTGCCTGGGGCCTCTCCACCGGGCTGGGGCTCGGGCAGCATGGGCCTGGACCCAGGGCAGAGGCAACTTGACCGTGAGCTGCTGTCCAGGGGCCTAGCAGGGCACTGGGCCCGCCTCAGGCATTACGTGAAGAACAGGTGTGACCCAAAAATTCAAAACAGGAGCCAATGAACATCTGTACACAGTAGGAGGATCTCCAAGCTGAACACACCTCTGGCTGCCTGTGCCTCGGACACAGCCCTGGACCTCCCTGCTTCGGGGGCTTAAAGCAGGAGGGGCAGCCCCCACCCCAGAGCGTTCTCATTAATCTACCCCAGGAAGTGCCCTCCGCCGTACTCCCAGAGGTGACCGGTATCACGGTGCTCACTGGGCTCGGGGGCGGAAACCATGGGGGCTGGGCTCCGGAGCGGCCACAGCACGCGGAGCCAGGACAGCAGCTGCTGACGCAGAGCCAGAACGGACAGCGAAGGGCCCTGGGCCGAACTCCCAGCTCTGCCGCTCCCTGGCTCTTGAAGTAAGTGGGGCCAGCAGGGGGCCACCAGGACCTAAGGGCATGATCCGTGGAGAGGGGGGTGAGCCGCCCCCTCTCACAGATGTGTGGGGATCAGACATGGGCGTGAGTGGGTCCAGAAAGGTTCGCTCCCACTACTACGACCATTCGGCCAGCACCTGCCCTACTCAGCGGACACCACCGCAGAGGAGACCACTCTGCCTTCAGGAAGCCATGTAACTTCTCTAGGCCTCTGCACCTCCCCCACAACGTGGGGTTAAGACAACGGTCAGGAAGATTCCGCAAAGAAAAGGTCAAGCACACAGTGTGGTAGCTGGTGCACCATAAGTGCCTATTAAACGGAAGTGCTCCACAGGACACTGGCAATGAGCAGATCGCCAATGGGAGTCCACTGTGTTCCAGGCCTCCACCCAGATGCTGAGCATCCAGCAGGGACCCGGAAGGCAAAAGTCCCTCCGTTCAAGGGGCTTACACTCTAACGGGGGTGGAGGGGAGAGGTGAGCAGACCAAAGATAAATGAGCAAAACGCACAATGTTCTAGGAGTGACAGTGCTGTGGAGAACAGCTGGGAGCAAGGAGGGAGCTGGTCATCAGGAAAGGCCTCAGTGGAGGTCATATTTACACAGACTGGAAGGAGGTGAGGGGGAGTCATGGAGATATCTGGGGGAAGAGCAGCTCAGGCAGAGGGAAGAGGCAGTGCAAAGGCCCTGGGGTAGGAACACTGGCCACTCACACAGCAGCAAGAGAGCCAGTGTGGCCCAAGGGAATGTTAAAGGGAAGGCATGGGAGGTGAGATCCGGGAGCTGGCTGGTGCTCAGATCCACAACTACCCAGCAGGTGGAGCCAACAGGATCGGCTACCAGTGTCCACAACAGAAGAAGAATGGGGTCACTGACGGTCCCAGGTTCTGAGTGTGGGTAACCGGATGCCACAGAGTCATGTACAAAGGAGAGGGAGACTGTGGGAGGAGCAGCCTGGGGACAGGTCCAGGGTGTCTTTTCGGGCCCATCAAGGTCAAGGGGCCAACTAAGTATCCAGATGGAGCCAACCAAGAGGTCCCAGCTGGAAACAGAACCCCAGGGCTACATGACGGTACTAAAGGCATAGACTGGATGAGACCTCCAGGGAAGTGGGGTGAGGGTGCCCCCTCCCTGACCCAGAGCCCCAGCGAAGCCCCTCAGAGGCCAGAATTGGCCCCCACGCCAGCATCTAACCACCTGGAGCTGCCTGGGGTTCACACGTCCCCCCAAGCCTGGAACTTCTGCACCCCCACCCTAGGACCACCAGTCTAGAGACCTCTGCAAGCCAACACATCAAAATGATTCCTCTTGTACCCCCAGGCTCCCTCCAGGGGCTCAAAGCACAGGTTTGAGGCCAGGATTCATGGCCCAGACCTACCCCCAGCTTCCCCCCACGGCCTCGGGCAAGCATGCAGCCTCTCTGTACCTCCACTTCCTCCCCTGTGCAACTGGGGTCACGGGGATAATAATGCAGTGTGGGGAGGATTATATGAGCAGAAGCACTTCAGAGCTTTGCAAAATGCTACCCAGCAGCAGTTACGTGGGTCCTCGCCACCCAAGGCTCCCCTCTCCCCCATTTTGCCATCCTAAAGTTCTCCTTCCCAGTGCCAGGCCTCTCCCGCCAGGCTTGCCCAGACCCTCCCTGTCTGTCTCTCAGGTGCTGGGCCCTCACGCCAGCCCCCCCGCCCCCCTCACCCCACAAGTTCAGGCCCATCCTCTCCACCACCACCAGAGGGCGCACTCTGAACATGTCCTGGTTTGCCCCAGAACTCCCAGGGCACCTGAACAAATCCAGACTCCTAGCTGGGCAGGGGAGCCCCTCCTTCACAGCACACCGAGGTCCCCCTGGCCCGTATCCACCCATTAAAACGTTCACCCTAGGGGCGCCTGGGTGGCTCACTCGGTTAAGCGTCTGCCTTTGGCTCGGGTCATGATCTCAGGGTCCTGGGATCGAGTTCCACGCCAGGCTCCCTGCTCAGCGGGCAGTCTGCTTCTCCCTCTGTGCTCTCCCTCTCTCTCTCTCAAATAAATAAATAAAATCTTTTAAAAAAAAAGATAAATAAATAAATAAAACGTTCCCCCTGGCTTGGTGCCCACACGCACACGCACATGCACACGCATGCATGCACGCTGCTCTCTCTCTCCTTCCCGCCCCCCCTCCAGCCAGCATGCATTCCTCCTCTCATCACAGCAGGTGGCTGGCCCAGGCCCACGGGGACACAGGACGCGGGGACACAGAGGCTAGTGGCACTGCATCTCTGCTGGCCCCCAGGTGGCAGCGCGGCGCAAGACAGACCCCCTTCCCCGAGCAAAGGCGGCTGGGGAAGGCTCGAGAGGAAAAGTCAGGTCCCTCGGGGTTGGAGGCAGGGCAGGAAAGGATGGGCCAAATGCCTCCCAGCTGCCCAAGCTGCAAAAGCAGAAAGCCTGGCCCTCATCCCAGGCACTCCGGCAGGGCTTCGCTGGGCTTCCCTGGCAAGAGTGCCAGTGCTTGCCCAGGCCCCACCCCGCCCCTGGGGGTGTCGATGGGGCAGGGGAGGGGTCAGGCCCAGGGCAGCCAGGCTCCAGGGGATTCTAGAAACCAAGACTCTTCTGGAAGGAGGGGGAGGAGCTTAAAGGCAGCTCTCAGCCGGCTCCCAGCTTACTCTCTGACTGTCCCCCATCCCTCCTTGATGAATCCCAAACATCCCAAACCAAGCACCATTCCAATGGGTCCCATCCAGGGATTCCAGAAGTTCCCAAGGCCCAGGGGATGAAGGAGGGGAACACTCCAAGCAAACTCCTGTCCCGACCCAAGAGTGGTGCAATGCCACACACAAAGGGAAGCCAGGCCTCCTGGGCCTGGAATTTTCAGGTGATCCCAAGCGGGCTGGCTGACAGCCCGCAGATACTTACCCCATTCTGGCTGTTACAGTGTCGGGTGCTGATGATGGCCCCTGCCTCCTCGATCATCTTCAGGATGGTCCCACCGTGGACGTTGCCAGCCACATTGGCATCATCCGGTCGCATGATCCTAGGCAGAGGAGAGAGAACGAGCAGGATGAGGCCCTTGAGAAGAATGTTACTCGTGAACAGCGACAACCCGGGGTGAGGAGAAGGTCCTCCAAAGAGACCAAAGGCTCCCAAAGAAGGAAGAAGAACTTCCCAGGAGTTTGGTCAGAGTGGGCTGCTGATCTGACAGCCCCAGACAAGGGGCTGCAGGGTCCTGTCTCCACAGGAAGGAGGGAGGGAGGCAGGCAGACAGCGGGACTATATCCCCGGGGCCGCAGACACCCAGCCGGGAAGGGATGCGAGCAGGGGCCTCTGGCAAAGGCAGCAAGGCGGCAGCATGGCCGTTGGGGTTCTCAGCACACCTGCCCCTCCTGGTTCCCATGCTCCCCAATGACCAATAGGGCTGAATGAGCACCAGGACATAGGCCGTGACCCCGTGGAAGACCACCCTCAGGAGTCCCAGAGGGGCTAACGCATGCAGCCTCGGCTTCTCTGAGAAGTGGAAACGTGCCACAGCTCTGAGACTCCTGTCAGTGGGGTAACACCTGGCACCACCTGCCCCGGCCTGCCGAGCTCCTCGGGGGCACCTGAGGGGGCTGGGTCCCTGGAATCGAGAGCTGGGAGCCCTCCAGGGTCGGGGGGGGGACTGAAATGCCATCCATTGCCCCAAAGAGGAAAAATTGCATCCCTGCTGTGGGCAGCCAGTGCTAGGGAAACTCCAAGAAATCTCTGGAATCCCAAGAAGCCAGCTTGGTGCTCCTACAGTGGGCAAACCCAGCCAAGCTGGCACCTTCCCAAACCACAGTCAGGCTAATGAAATCTGCCCTCAGCAGTCTCAAGCCTAGAGACAGGGGACAGGCAGAGCGCATGCCACAGTTCCAGCATGCCCGCCAACCAACCACCTGGGCTCACCCAGTGCAGGCCCCAGGACCAGCACCCTCTGCTCGGGGGCTCAGGGCCAGGGAACTCCACCACCCTCTGGGGCTAGGAGCTCCGGACAGCTCCACTCAGCAGCTCAGTCAGCCAGCCAGACTCCGAGATCATTCCTGGCTCCCGCTCTTATGGGTGAGCTGGGCGACCTGACCAAACTCTCATTCTTCCACTTCCTTGTCTTTAAAATAGGCATAACTGAACCACTGCACTTGACCGGGGGAGGACAGACTCACACGAGATAAGGCAGATAACAAGCCCAGCTGCAGTGCCTGGCACACGGCCAATACAATGCATGCTCACCAGCAGTATTCTTCCCTCCAGGTAAATATTTACCCAACCGACTGCAAGAAGGTTGGAAGCTCCAAGACAGAGCCAGAAGATGTGATTTTCTCAGCAAATGAGCACGGACATGTTGCCGTGACTGACAGCGGACTGTTGCCCACCCCCAAGTGTGACCCCTTCGTCCTGGGGGGGAGCCGGCTATGAGAACCAAGACCCACTCAGGTCACGTGCTGTCTGGCCCTGCCTCACTGGCTCAGGGCAGCAGTCATGGTAACCTGGGCAGAGGCCAGGGGAATCCCAGAGAACCGGAAAAAAGCTTCACTTGGCTTCTCAAACGTTCATTTAAAAATATTTCTTGAGTCACCTCAAAATGGATAAAGACTGGAAACCATGAAACTCCCAGCAGAAAACACAGGCTTACGGTAAGCTCCTTGATCAGTCTTGACGATGGTTTTTTAGATCTGGCTCCAAAAGCAAAGGCAACAAAAGCAAAAATAAACAAGTGGGACTTTATCAAAGTTAAAAGCTTCTGCAGAGCAAAGTAAACCATCAACGAAATGAAAAGGCAGGGGCGCCTGGGTGGCATAGTTGGTTAGGCCGCTTTCTTCAGCTCAGGTCATGATCCCGGGGTCCTGGGATCAAGCCCTGCATCAGGAAACCACTGCTCAGCGGGGAGTCTGCTTCTACCTCTGCTTGTGCTCTCTCTCTGTCCGATAAATAAATAAAATCTTTAAAATAAATGAAAAGGCAACCTACAGAATGAGAGAAAATATTTGCAAATCATGTATCTGATAAGCGGTTAATATCAAAAATATATATAAAGAGCTCACACAACTCAACAGTGAAAAAAAAAATCTGATTTTAAAATGGGCAAAGAGGGAACACCCGGGTGGCTCAGTTGGTGAAGCATCTGCCTCTGGCTCGGGTCATGATCCCACAGTCCTGGGATCGAGTCCTGCGTTGCAGGGAGCCCGCGCCTCCCTCTCCTCCCAGTTCATGCTGTCGCTTTCTCTGTCTCTAATAAATAAAATCTTTATTAAATAAATAAATAAATAAATAAATAAAACAGACAGACAAAGAGGGGTGCTTGGTCAGCTCAGTCGGTGGAAATCCGACTCCTGATCTCGGATCATGAGTTCAAGCCCCATGCTGGGTGCAGAGCCTACTTTTAAAAATTTAAAAAAAATAAAACAGACAAAGAAACCGACTAGACATTTTTCTAAAGACATAGGGATGGCCACTAGGTACATGGAAAGGTGTTTAACACCACTCATCATCAGGGAAATGAGAATCAAAACCACCACGAGAGATCACCTTGCACCTGTCAGAACAGCTATTATCAAAATGACAAAAGAGAACAGGGGTTGGAGCAGGCTGCGGAGACAAGGAACCCTCGTGCAAGGCTGGTGGGGGTGCAGACTGGGGCAGCCACTGTGCAGAACAGTACGGAGCCTCCAAAAAATTAAAGCCAGAACCACATGATGCTGCAATCCCCCTTCTGCGCATTTACCCAGAGGAAACCTAAAGTCGAGCTCGAGAAGATACGCAGGTTCATGACAGTGGCATTGGCCACAGCTGAGCCGCCACAGCGCTCATCCTGGGGGTGAACAGACAAAGCTCTCGTGGGATACGGAAACCAATGCGGGGGGGGGGGGATTCTGTCATTGCTGATGACAAGGATGGACCCTGAGGGCATTATGCCAAGTGAAAGAAGTCGGAGACAGAAAGACAACACCTTGTGATCTCACGTACATGCTGAATCTGACAACAGGTTGCTCAGAGAGAGAACAGCCCGCTGGCCGCCCCGGGGCCAGGCAGGGGGGGCGGTGGGGCAGGTTGACCCCCGCCCCAGGTAAGCAAGTCCTGGGGGCGTGAGGACAGCATGGTGACTCCAAGGTACCAGTACTGCACCGGACACATGGAAGTTGCTGAGAAAGTAGATGGTCAACACTCTCACCACGGGGAAAAAAAATCTGCAAACCTGTGAAGCAACAGAGGTTAAGGGTCGCTGTGGTGAGCCTTCTGCTATACAGACACATATCAAACATCACCTTGCATACCTAAAACTAGTAACACGTTCTACGTCAGTTACATCACAATAAAACCAGAAAGATAAAATAATAAAAATTTTAGAAACATTGTCCAGTTTTAAAAATTTGGGCTTTAAAAAAAAAAAAAAACCTTAGCATTAGCCCGAATTTCTGAGTTAAGAGGTAGCCAATTTAAATAACAAAAACTGCTGTTATCAATCTCTTTCCTTGGTATCTGTTTTCAACTTAGTAAAGGACAGAGGGTCATTTCTACCCAGAGGGTCGTCCTCCCGGGGCACAGGTACCGCAGGGGCTGCAAGGGAGCAGGGGGCTGGCCAGGGAGAGCAGAGCCCCGGGTTCTAGAACGTCGGGGAAACCTGAGTCCGGCCTTCCCTAGAAGCACCAGAGCCTGCCTCTGGGGGAGCCCCATTCCCCGCTCGGGCCTCACTGTGCCTGTCCGTAAGTGGAGCTGTTCCCCCACGGCTGGCCCACAGCAATGTGGCGTGGCCTGGCACAGAAGGGCAGACAGGAAGTGCCCACATCCGGCGGGGCACTGAGGAAGAGACTGATAAGGAGACAGGCTTTGAGATGGTGCCTGCAGCCATCCTACGACACTTGAGGGTCCCCAGAAACCCCACATCATCAACATCCGACTGCCCCCAGGAGCCTGGGCACTTGGGAGTAAATGCCAGGAGCTCCAGACCACACATTTTGTGTCAGGCACAAAAGCTCACTGGGACGCTTGCCATCCCCCACCCTTCCTGGTCACCCTGGGTCCTGCACAAATACCGTCCTAATTCCCCAGGCCAGCAGGCCACTCAGGCACAGGGTGCCGGCCCGAGCCTCCCTCCCCGGGACCTGATCCTGACCCGCATTCTGCAGTTACTGCAGAGGCAGGGGGACCAGAGCCCAGCTCACGCCACGCCCCTCGGCCCCAAATGGCCCCCCACTGCTCAGGAGCTGCTGGGCAGGGCTGTCCTGAAACGCCAGTCACTCCCTCAGGGCCTCCCCAGCTCACTTCCCCAGAGCTTCCCCAGAGCTCCCGCGCCCCTGGCCTGCTCATCTCTAGGCAGGTGTCTGAGGAGCGAGGGCAGCCAGGAGAACATGTGGTCCCCTCATTCAAATTTTGTTTTCCCATTTTTTTAGATTTTATTTATTTGAGAGAGAGAGACAGAGAGAGAGAAAGCAGGAGAAGGGGGAGAGGCAGAGGGAGAGGGAGAAGCAGTACCCCGCCAAACAAGGAGGCCGGCAGGAAGGACCAAGGCTGTCCTCAGCTTAGCACCCGGAAGCTGGGCAGAGGAGGGGGTTCTGACGGGCCCAACGACCACACCCAAAATGTCTACCTAGAGGAGGAGTCAGGATTTGGGGCTGTGGCCTCCAGGCTGTGCGAACATAAATTTCTGTTGTTTTAAGCCACCCAGTTTGTCGTCACTGGTTATGGCTGCCACAGGACACCCACAGTCAGGGAGGCGGTGCCCCACGCACAGAAGACAGCAGTGAGTGACAGGTGAGCCCCACAGGACCTGCGGTGGTGGCTGCAGCTGGAGCCGGACACTCAGCCCCTGCGTCCTGAGCCTGGCCAGCCCAGGCCAGGCCCCGGCACCGGGGCCTGACCACTGCCCACCCCTCCCGCAGGCCCCCAGCATGGGGCCAGCCTCTCTGACTCCGACACCAAAATGTCCCTGCTAAAATACAACATTGCAGGGCCGCCTGGGTGACTCGGTCGGTTAGGCGTCTACCTTCGGCTCAGGTCATGATCCTGGGGTCCTGGATCGAG